TCTATCTTCCACAGCATAGTGTTGTTACTGGGAAGAGACTGCAAACATGACCATCAAAGATTTTCTATTTAGGAACACGTAGGTTTCCTGATAAATGAAAGCCCTCCTCCATAAAATGATTCAAGACCCCTGTTCTCTCAATCCTGTCTCCCCACCATTCCCTGAGGTCTCCTAGTCATCTACGTCCAACCAGAGGAAGGAGAGAGGATACAGTTTAGAACCTGGTCCCAGATTCGACACACATCACATCTGCTGACATTCTGTTGGTGAGAACAAGTCATGTGGTCACCCAGATGTAATTGAGGCTACTGCACAAGTCTCCCTGGCTGGGCAGCTGCTTCCCAATGACACCTCTTTTCTACAGAAGGCTGAGCATGGGCTATGATGGACGGCTGGCCATCTCTGTCCTGAGGGTGATGGTCCCATTGCAAGGCCAGCCTCTGACACTTATCATGGAATGTGAAGAAACAGTCCATAAGAGATTTCACCTCAAGGATGGGCAGCCTACTGACATCAAAATCATGTTTGTGATGGAGGAATCCCTCAAAGGGTGATGTGCGCAGCATTCCACAGAGGATGACATGCACAGTACAGATGACACAGATGATCACAGCAGCTGCTGTGTGCACCAAAGTGGGAAAACAGAAAACAGAAAGAACAGACCATATGCTTAAGGACTCAGAACATAGCCTAAAACAATATGCCACAGTCTATTTGTTCTAAAAAACAAATAAAGCAGGCATGTCAACCTAGCTGGTAGGAATCAGGAATACAGTGATTATTCACAGCAATGGTTTCGATTAAATTCTGAATATAAGAAGTGTAAACACCACTCTCTAGAAAAAAAGACTTGTTCCATTACTAAACCGAAGTGGGACATTTGTAATTCAGATATTTGTATTCTTTCGTTAAAGAATATTCGTTTCCATAAAAGAATATGAGGATATCTTAATCTGTGTTACAACTAATTTAAGAAATCACTAATGTCTGTTGTCTCTCTCTCTTTAATCATCCTGTTATTATTCCATGTAGAGGGAAAAGTCCATTGGAATAGGGGAAGCTAATCTGGGCTCCTGACATACGAATGGGAAACAAAGCTATTTTCCTTAGTATTTCTCTTTTGTTCTCAAGTAGTCAGCTCTGTTACACCCTACTGCCCAAGCTGCTGACCACTGTCCCCACTGCCATCTCTGGACACTGCCACCAATGCAGCTGCCTCCCCAGTGACGGGCAGAATTCTAAAGCTTCTCCTGCTCCTCTGAGTCACTCAGCAGGAGTCGTGGTCCCAGCTTTGGCAGATCTTAAGTCCTGTGCTCTCTCTAACTGACAGAAGTCAGGAAAAACACAAAAGTAAGCATTTCTATTTTGGAAGTTAAGAGGAATAGGGTACTCTCGCCCACTCAGCCTCATACAGTGATGGATTCCCTCAAAGTCAGTAAAGGATTCGAATGTTAGGCAGCCCAAAAGTAACAAATGTCTACTACACACATGACAAAATGCTAACAGCTCAAACTGGCACACGGGCCCCTGCTGCTTGTCAAGGGGTATGGGCTGTCATGAGGGCGAAGGAACTGAAAGAAGATGACGGGGAAAATAAGTTTCTTTTCCACACATCCACTAGGAAATCATATCCATAAAACCTCCCAAGACTCTACATGCCTGAACAGGTTGTGTCTTCTCCATTCAATGCCAGGACCCCGGGTGCAAAGCTACTAGAAGTGGTATGGAGTATTCTGGGGGATGACAGTTGTCTCCAGCAACTGTCTAAAAGAGCTTTCTGTGATGATGGGAATGTTCTATATCTGTTCTCACCAATATGTATCCTCTACCTATGTGTGGCTATTGAACACTTGAATTGTGCCTAGTATAACTAATGAACTCAATTTTCAGTTTTCTTTATTTAAATTTAAATAGCTCAAACATGTGGCTACTGCCTATCATGTTAGTTCAAGTCTAGCCTTTCTGGCAGCAGATAACCAATCTAGTCTATAAGGAAGTGAATTGTTTAAAATCTTTTAGAAGAAAGTTTCCAAATTTCCCCAGTAACACAATCCAATAACTAATAAAACAAACATGTAGGTATTTCTTTCCTATAACTATTTAAAAACATTCTGGCCCTGCCTTGGTTCGATCACGGGCAATCCTAACCTAATTCAGATCCCTTCCCTACATTCTAAGCCAACAGTTCACAATCTCTCTGATTGTGAGGACCCATTTTTAATGTCAAAACTATTCATTGTTTAACAGTAGTTGTGCTTTAATTCTTACTGATTAAGAAAATACATTATAGTAAAAAGCTCCTCTTAATTCAGTAACAGTGAAGGTGTTTGTGGTTCACTGGTAGAATTTTTGTCCTCCAAGCAGGAGATGCATGTTCCATTCCTGGCCAGTGCACCTCATGCACAGCCTGTCAGTGGAGGCGTGCGTGTTGTTATGATGCTGAACAGACTTCAGTGGAACTTCCAGACTAAGACAGACTAGGAAGAAAAGCTTGGTGATCTACTTCTGAAAAGAAGCCAATGAAAACCCTAAGGATCACAAGGGTCTGATCTGCAAACAATGATGGGGATGGCACAGAACTGGGTAGCACTTCACGCCATTGTGCATGGGGTCGCCATGAGTCGTGGGCCAACTCAATGGCAGCTAACGACAACAATACAGTAATACTTTATATTCCTGTCTATCTAATAACAGCAGCAGTACATAGATTTTTAAATACTCATACACGTATATATGGAAGACGTGATTTACTCAGTACATGAGCAATCCTTGATACTACCACGGATTCCAAGACCTCTTACAAAACTTCACAGCCTCATGGGCCATGTGACCCAAACAGGTTAGGTGCCCTCTTGTAAAGACTGTGCCCTTAGGTGTTCAGCTATCTTGCAGATAATGTCTTTGTTCATAAGCGGGATTTGGGTTTGGTATGAAAGAAATGAGAAAACACAACTTTCCTAGTACTTGGAGATCAAAATTTTTCAAGGTATATCTGATAGCAGAAGTATATTATACATTATTTATACTGAAGTTAAGCCCAATTATCATTTTAGCTTCAAAGATCAAGGTCGAATAATTTGGATTTCCTAAAAGTATATTTTTATGACTCAACACATATTATGCTCATCAACTCTCTTCCTAACATCATCTCAGCAAAAATTATCCTTACTCTCTGCCTGTGCTTAACTCACGCTTTTCTGTGTCATCTTTGAAGCCAAAATATGAAGAAATAATTTCAGCAATAAAAAAGCGAGCATTTACTTATGATTTTGCAATTCTATTTCACTGTAAGTTATCTGCACACAGTAGATTTTTGAAGTCCAATTTTAAAGCAAATTAGCTATAATCTCTCCATTTGGTGTCTCCATTTACAAGTACACTCTTGTATTTATGACCATATGCTGAGTAAAGTAGAGGGTCAGTGAAAAAGAGGAAGACACTCAATGAGATGGATTGACACAGTGGCTGCAACAATGAGCTCAATTACAGCAATGATTGTAAGGATGGCACAGGACCAGGCAACATTTCGTTCTGTTGTCCATGGGGTTGCGATGAGCTGGAATCGATTCGATGGCACCTCACTACAACAACACGCTGAGTTTACACTGGTGCTTCAATTTATCTTAAAGAGGCCAAATGTTTTGTCTTAGCTTCAACTCCTCTATTTCCAATTCAGAGATTAAAATGTGTGTTTGCTCTCCACCCCAGATTTCGAATAACCCAGTGCATGTCATAATGTGCATAAAGTGAGTGATGTTTTATAAGTAACATGGGTAACTACTTTGGGAGCTCTGCCAAAGGGCAGAAATGAGCCATTCCCAGCCTGGAGGTGGCCTCGAGCTGGACAAGTGATTGAAAGCTGGAGGTGAAAAGTCACTTTTGTGAAGCTGACAGAAGAATGAGGAAAGACCTCATCAGCATCACAAATCTGTGACTATAAAATGGGGAAGAAATGTTTCCAGCCAGAATCTCATGATCTGAGAGTAGGTTGTAGGGAAACGCTGAAGAAGGATGGCACAAGGTCAGGTTTGACCACTCTGATCTTAGGACACCCTAAAATCTAAGGGGACGCTCAGGTTTGAGGTAATAGCCCTACTGACCCACCACAGCAATCATGTCTTTCCGGTATATGCAGGCACTTTCCTGAACATACTGCTGTAATCAGAATCAAAGTCCCCAAATATACCTTCCAGAACAAGAGAGCCAGCAGATGCCTGCCCATATTACAGTGAAAACAAAAGCCACTGTTACACTAGGAGTTTGGTCCATGAAACTGAGAAATCTCTTGGAATTCTGTATAGATTACAAAAAAGGTCAGCAAGCCCAAGAATGCCCACAACCTAGCTGTAGCTAAAGAAGCAATAAGCAAAGATTTCAAATCACAACACTCTGAAAAATAAATCTCACAGAAAAAAATGGATATGACAACTTTTACAGGCCTCAGACGATTTTATATTTTCAAACTCTCTGGGCTTCCTAGAAAGAAGTCACTCACTGAATAAACAGGAACATATTTCATTAGGAAGGGCTGAAATTAATCTATTTCAATAAAAAATGTATCTACTGAGAGATTCACGTATTACACATTACATACATCGACTACTGCACCAAAAAAACCATTGCTGTCAAGTCGATTCCGACTCACAGCAACCCTATAGGACAGAGTAGAACTGCCCAGTGGGGTTTCCAAGGAGTGGCTGGTGGAGTTGAACTGCCGACCTTTTGGTTAGCAGCTGAGCGCTTAACCACTGTACCACCAGGGCTCCACTGACTACTACAGACATCAACTATTATCTCAAAATAGTCATTTTTTAAAAAGCCTATGAAACTCAAATACTGAATGTAGAAAGCTCAACCTGAGGTTTTAATTCAATCCGTAACGGCATGCCTTAGCAGCATAAAAACTGCTTCTCGATTAAGTAGTCTGGGTTGTAATTTGTTCAAGATAACAAAACAAATACAAAAGTAATGAATTTATTTTAAAAAGCACATACGCCTACCTTTTTAAGAAGATCACATTTCAGGATTCCATATCACAGAGAAACTGTCTTTTCCTATGGGGAAAAAAGAAGAAAAAAGACGATTCGTTAGTAATAGAAAGTAAAGTAGCAAAGGTGAACTTTGAAGCTCTGCTATAATCTCTTCATGTTGTGTTTCATTTACAATAATAAACAAATGGACAGTTTTTTAAATTAGACTTAAAGCACTTCTTTATTTCTGTCCTAATGAAATATTTTAAAGATTTTGATTCCAATCATTTGATTTCTAAGAAGTAAATGGATCAGTCCCAAAAGAAAACTGATAAACGGCAACTTTTCCAAATTACAATTAAAATATTGACTTCACATTTATCCCAATGATATATTTTCAAATTTTTTAATTCCATAAAATAAATGTATACATGAAGAAGTAAATGTATAAAACTCCACTCCTGTTTCAATTTTTCCAGTGGGGAATTGAGATGGAGAGGTTCTAAGGGCCTCTGGAAGGTAAAAGGAAGATAACAGAACTGTACGTTGCTGTCACTGCCAGCTGAATATTTTTTATTGTCCAAGTCAGTAAGCTTCAATGGCCTCTAGTTTTGTTAGTGAAGACTTTGGGATCAAGAAAAACGTAAAGAGGAAATTAAATCAAAATAAACCAAGCCAAACTCATTACCGTCAAGTCAATTCCGAAGGTGGCCATACAGGACAGAACAGAACTACCACATAGGGTTTCCAAGGCTGTAAATCTTCATGAAAGCAAACTGCTACCTCTTTCTCCCACGAAGTGGCCGGTAGGTTTGAACCACCGACCTTTCAGTTAGCTGCCAAGACCTTAACCACTCCACCATCAGGGCTCCTCAAGTTAAAATAGGGTCCCTTCAATTTTATTTTACATTTATTACTTTCAATAAATAATTGACATAGAAATCGATTGTTGTTGTTAGATGCTGTCAAGTTGATTTTGACTCACAGTGACCCATGTGACAGAGTAGAACTGCCTTATGGGGTTTTCTTGGCTGTAATCTTTATGGAAGCAGATCTCCAGGTCTTTCCCCTGCAGAGCCATTGGGTGGGTTCAAATTGCCAATGTTTCGGTTAGCAGCCAAGTGTTTAACCATTTGTGCCACCAGGGAATCTTGGAAACCTATCAGTCACTAATAATACTAAATATGACTTCTCTGTTCAAAATTATTTGTTGATGTAAATTCAATTATTTTAATATTTTAACTTTGTACACTCATATTCAAATAAGGAAGTAAATGGTTTAACATTTAATATAAGCTAATCATCTACTACTGTATACTGTTTCCAACTAAATCCAATTAAAATGACCAAAAGAGTGATGTCCACAAGAATGTAATTCTGACTCCAACTCTGATATGTTATGTTCCATCTGTAATTTAATCTCCAACAGGAATAATGAGTTGCAGATTCAGACACAATGGCCAAAATTTCTGACTCAAAAGAACTCCAAGGATTTGAAATGACTGCCAATGTATAAATTGGAAGAGACCACACTCCAGAGAAATCACTCACACACACAGATGCACACACACACACATGCACATACACACACACACGCACACACACATCAAATGGGGTCTCCTACATTAGCTTGTGTTGGCTTCAGTTGCTCCCTTCTTTGCAGAAAATATGTTTTAAACTTTAAGTAAAAATTCTCATAACATCTTACTGAACAGAGTGGGAATCCTGCAACCACATCCATGCCTACAAATAGCCAAGGTTGAGGAACATGCTTCTTGGTCATGCTTAGGCCCAGAACTTCTTTCCTTCAAAGCAACACCAACTCCATATGGACTCCCCAAAGTAAGCCAACATCTGTGAACTTACCTCTCCTGCTTTTGGTCACTTCAAATGTTAGCCAGCATTACCTTGGCCAGCTCACTGGCAATATAGTATAATTAGGGCCTACAGCAATAGCTTCCCATGCCACGTTCTGCCCATCCCACAGATGCAGGTACACTTTGCTAATAAAGCCATGATAGACTGATGGACTGATAGGGAAACATGGGTCAGCATGAACACACTGAGCCAAATCACAATCTATAGCATACAGTGACCACTGATACAGGGCCCCTTACAGATCTTTAGCTTGTAACTGGCCATCCAGAAATAATATGATATCCACAATTTGTTTCAAAGCCATCCAGCTGATGTTGTTGATGGGGAAGGGTAACAGGTGAAACAAAAGTGCCCGTGAATTTGTTGTAGTTTAAGGATGGGGTACATGAAGGTTCACTGTAATATTTGTTCTCCTTTTATGTATATTTTAAATTTTCCATAATAAAAAGTTAAAAAAAAAAAAAAAGTCATCAATGAAAATTATGTGTGAAAGTATGAGAAAAGGAGAAAGAGAGACATACACAGATCATAAATATCTCAACCTTCCTGTTTTCCCAATGCCTGGCACCAAAAAAAGAAAAAACTAGAGAAACACGTTAAGCAGAAAATTTAAAAATCAATTATCACGCTAGGATAACAGTACTAAAAATGTAGTGAGAATGGCCTTAAAACTTTTTTCAGTATTTCAAAAGCCAAATAAAAATATATATTTACCCACAATAAAGCTGCTTTTTTATTATTTCAAATATCTCTGCTTTGAATTATGTGATATCAGTATAGATATACTGGTTATCTCATGTTTCTCAAAAATTGTTGGCAGTTAAATATGCCTTTGATTAATACAAACAGGGAAATGCATGACTTATCATTAACGTCAATGTGATCTGTTTCATGAACAAAATTCTTTCTAAACAAGAGATCTGAAAAGGAATTAAAAAAAAAAAAAAATCCTTTATTGGTACAAGCTTTGGGACCACAGATGTAAGATCTGCAACCCACTTATGCTATTTGAGTGATCTGTCCCTGGGGAACAGCCAAAAATTGGGCACTCCAAGTGGGTGAGACTCTCCAACTTTGACTTGGAATTTGAAAGAGACAAGAAGTGGCTAGATGAGGCCAGAGGTCCGCTTTCACAATATGCAGGAGAGTGTTACACAAAGTAAAATCATATTCACAGCCTCAAAACTTGACTTACTGACCCTGCCAGACACCACTACTGTAAACTTGACCTTGGACATAAAATAAAAAGCAGGATTTAAGTCATGGTTTGCTGAAAGAATATGTGTAAAACTGTGCCAAGCTTGCTACATAGATGAACCAGAGGCAAGAACAAATTTGGGTTCCCTCTCAACAGAGTATGTTCAGGATCAAATACTGAATCCTGACATGAGATTTGATGATTAAAAAAAAAAATTAGTTCATGCTTTACTGTTGTTGTTTTTTTTTTCCAAGTTTTTCTGGCCTAGAACAATCTGTTTTCTTTCCAGTAAAGAAACAATGCCAAATTCTGAAAAAGAAATTTGTTTGACTTAATGGGTAAGCACATAAAAGCTGGCATAAGGAAGATTATGGGAAAACTAGAGCAACTTTGCCTTATTAGGCAGGCTTCCAAACTTATTGGTGAAAGGATCGAAGGTCAGAGAAGGGAGTGTGGGGGTAATAATTATGAACAAGTTACTTGATGGGGGTCAGTTAAACAAAATTCAATTGTTTTCAACTTGAAAACCACAGTTGCAGCAATTTACTACATGAATGAAGAAAAACTTCCATTAATTTACACCGTAATCAGATAGTTTTCATTCATGTAGTCATAATTTGAAGTCTAGTTTTATTAAACTGGGAAGGGTATACTATATGGTCTTATGTATTTAATAAATGTTTGTTGAATAAATGAATAAATGAGAGGCCAACTACCGTATTTTTACACAAATAACGTGTGCCTTCTATGATTGTTTGCCAACTGCGCCCTCCCCCACACGAAGTATTTTCATAAGCACCACTATCCCATTTTTTTTACATGTTGCTTTAAAACAAATTAGCATAGTACACTTATGAAAATACCCCACAGGGGGACAGCATGGTTGGCAAACAATCGTAGAAAGCGTGCAGTATTTGTGTAAAAATACAGTAATACCAAATCATGATCTCTAAGAGTAAAGCCACTAGAGGTTACAAAAATGAAATTCTCAGATATGGCAACCATAGCTATTTGTCTACTCAATGTTCAGAGCCCTGATTTTGTTCTGGAGGGAAATATGCCAAGCTAAAATTATGTTTCTCCTAGACTTCCTTGCAGCTACACATGACCATGTGACACAGTTTTGACCACTGAGATGCAAGACAAAGACAGCTTTGAGAAAATCTGCTCTCATGATATGAACATGTCTCCTTCCCCCTTTCCTGGGAATACCTGCTGAGTGGTCAGAGCCATCTTACAACGAAGAGGACAAAGAACAGACAATAAAGAATGGAAAGACAGAAAGAAGCTGGTTCTCTAATGGCACTGCCAAGATGCTACACCTGCCAAAAGGTGCATTTCATGTTAGATGTGACAAATAAACTTCTGGGAGTTTAAGCTGCTGCTTTCTATTATTCACAGTCAAAAATATTCTACAAACACCAAGTATAATGTATCTTTCCTCCTCTTGTGTTTTCAGAAGATGTTCCTATTTCCACAAGCTGTGATGCTCCATAAAGCCGTCCAATAACACAGTTATGTAATCATCGCTGCTGAACTCAATAGTTTCACATGTGTCAAAAGGATGCCTCACACAAAAAGGCCAAGAAGCTAAGAGAGTACAGTCATCACGAAAAGCATCAGACACAACAGGCCACCTCATTCTACGAAGACACACTGTGCTTTCCTCTGGACCACTAAACCCTCATATTAAGGATATATTAAAAAAAAAAAAAAAAGATGGCAAAAAAGACAGCAAGACTATTCAAATGACCAAAGAAATGGAGCATCTTCTAATTTAAGATAGTCTTCAAAACCTGTATGTCTCAACAAAGAAAAGTAAAGATTTAGAGGCATGGCTGGATCAAGCATCAGAAATGAAACATCACTAAAAAACAGAAAATAAGAACATAAGGATACAACTTGAAGGCTTAAGGACTGTCTTGGTTTAGATGCCCCTACTCTGTGCTTCTACAGAGTCTCAGGAACGCATCTCCTAGGGAACTTAAAATTCTACAATGCTTTCTCT